AAAATTTTAGGATTCTAGGTTAGGGGTCCAAAGGGCACAAGATGGAGGAAATTGGGTGTGTCTTGTCCTTTTTCTCCTTCTTCATGCCCTCCATGTTTCACTGTGGTGTTGGCATTTTTCTATTGGTTTAGGCTGGGGACACACTGTCCAACGTAGGTGACAGATATTGGCACATTATTGTAAATCCAGCCCAGGGAGTTTCTGGTATTTAATGTTTGTAACATCCCACTGAGGCCAGAGCCCCACACGCTGCCCTGCAGGACAGAGCTGGGCAGGGCAGCAGAACATGTGAGAGATAAACAGAATAAACAACCTTGGAACCAGCACAGATCAATTATGGCTTCTGCTTTGGCAGCGGGGCAGAAAGACAGAGGCTTTCTACAATCTTGGAATCATCAATACCACAGAGTCCGACAGAGAAGAAAGCAAAATGTTTCTCCTTCTGTAGCTTGGTGGAAAGTTTATCCACTCCAGTTCATGCAGGAAGCCATCCTGCCAGCAGTATGCCAAGCAGCACTGCCAAGAGCCACGGGTGCCCCACTCAGCAACCACAGTGATTTTCACTGCTGCTCTGGAGATGCAGCCACATGGCTGAATTTGCCCTGAGTTTGGACTGTATAACTTCAAACTGGAAAGCAAGGCTGTAAACGGGAGAAAGGCAAAGCAAATCATTCCTCAGTTAACAATTTCACCACTTTTTTCATAACTCTTGATGTATTCTTGGAAATATTGCCAATCACAGTCTGAATCCCTGCTTCCTTAATAAATTTCAAGCAAATTCACCATGAAAATACTAAGCAGATGAAGTGAGATATGTGTAACGTTCCTGAAGCAATTATTCCTCCAAGTTCTAGTCAAGTCAGAGGCACTTACCCTGCTGGTTAGCTTTCGCTCAGCATAAGGAAGGATCAAATAACTCCTTTATAAGTTTTTAGAGAAACCTTAGCCTAGGTTTAATTGCTTCATCAACTAAACATGATTGTTTGTAACAGGATGATTCTTAGTAGTATTATAGATGGCATAAATAATTTTTTGTAGGACATGGCTCTTTAGCCACCCCAGGCAGCCATCTTATGTTCCTCTCTTCTCAAAGAAACATCTGTGGGAGGAAGGGGCCCATCTGAGGTCTCAAGAGAGTTCTCAAAGCCCAGCTCACAGATAAGACAGTTTATTGTAATTCATTTCCTAATCTACTTCATACTGCTCCTACAGCATTATTCATTCTTCTTACCCTTAGGACTTTTTTTTTTTTTCAGCCTGCCATACCAAAAGGCAAATTACAGACCTTATTTAATCCTGAAGAGCAGAGATGTTAATTGGGTTGAAAATGGTAATGATGCATCTAATTCTGTCTTATCTACACTGCTCATCCTGCTCTCAGGACACCTGAGTGCTCCTGCATCCCAGAACAGAGGCTTGAATACATATTTTTCTGTGTTACACCCAGCTTGTCCCTTGGCTCATTATCAGGGGTACATTACCCAGTGACTCAAATATGAATCTCACAATATTTCCTCTTGTTCTATTTCCGAGTAAGAGCAGGTACATGTTCAAAGCATTTATGATGTATATTGCCTCAGCTAAAGCATAATTAGCTTCATGAAAAGGAAGCAGGTTAACCAGCCCCACCTTAGCTGAAACCACTGTCACCTTTACATTTCAGACCTTTATTTGGTTCTTCAGCTATTTCAATTACCAGTCAAGGAGGGGTTTAAGTCCGCAGCATAATAATACTTGCAATTACTAGTAAATAGCATTTCACAGCACTAACCAGTCTGTCCTTACTACATCCATTTCAGGCAGGCAAATACATGTTATTATCCTCATTTTACAAACACATTGATTAAGTGACTTACCTAAAGGCCACACATCAATTTCAATGTCAGTGCCAAGATTAGCACAGAGAAACTTCTGCATTGCAGACACAGAAAAAAGTGATAGGTATTATCAAGCCCACCCCCCTTCAGAAACAATCATTTTTCAGCTGTATAGTCAAATAGCATTTACCCTCCTCACAACCCCATATGAGGTTTTGTCCACCTCAAGCTGCTCCCTGACAAAGGCGGGAAGGGAAGGGAAGGGAAGGGAAGGGAAGGGAAGGGAAGGGAAGGGAAGGGAAGGG